GCCGCCGCCGCCGCTACCGGAAACTGCCGAGCGCCGCGCCGGAAGAGCTGTCCCTCAGCACGCCGGCCAGGGGCCAGCAGCTAAACTACGCCTCCCGGCAGGCGCCGCGCTCCGGAGAGGGGCAGAGCTGCCTCTCCTTCGCCGCGAGGCACGCTGGGAGATGTAGTCGGTCCCTTGGAGGCCGGAACGAGATTTCTGACTCTCGCGATGGCCGAGCGCTGGCGGGGTTGGGCTGGGTGGTTGCCTCGATACCGGCTGCGTTGTGTGTGGAGGCTTTAATGGCTGGCGGTGAGAGGAAGGGGCTGCCACCGCCCGGGAAGTGGGGTTGGCGCACGGCTGTGGCTCCGTCGGGCTTTCCGGTTCTGTAGCTGGGCCTGCTGATGCTGTGGCTTCCGCGCCTTCCCGGCTCCAGAGGCCCTCAGCCTCTCTGGGGGCGGGTGTTTGTCGCCCCGGGGGAACAGGGGTGCTTGGTGCCCGTTTGGGTGGTGGTCGTCAGTACCGCCGTTTCATATGGCCTGCCGAGCAACTGTGTGGTAGCTTCAGTGATCGAAGGGCCGTGTGTGTGTGGCTCTGCGGCTGAGGGGAGCTCCTCAGGGGGCTGGTGAAAGCTGCCAGGGTTTATCAGGAGTAGCGCAATCTGGGTATGCATTGGTGACTGTGGATGCCTGAAGGGCTGTCCCCAGATAGCCCAAGTGGGTATTTATAACAGCTCTTCACTTCCAAGTTATTTCATGAGAGGCTTGAGTACTGCGGGCAGATGCCGAAACAATAAATGCCAAAAGCATTAGTAGGAGCTATCTGTATAACAGTGTATACTGAGGACTGACTAAGCACTGAAGAGGGACTGCTGTCTCACCTTATGGATGGAGCTCACGTGGTACTTTCTGGGCACTGTTTCCATCTTGTACCATGCTTTTCCAGCAGGGAAGTGCGTTACAGGTTTCTAAAGAAAATTCCTTTTACTAGGTGGAAAAATAAGGTTTAAATAACTGATGTCTGATAGTTTTAAAGAACTTGTGCAAATTACAGGACTATTTCTATCCCTCTTTCTAGGGAGAAGTTCAAAAGGGAAGAGAGATGGCCAGCAGTCACAGACCTCCGATATCTCGTCCTTCTTCAAGAGCAGGAATAGGGCTGACTGCAAGGCCTGCCTCTTCATCAAGGACTCTGTCTGCAACCAGAATAGGAACAGGGGTATGTTAAATAATTTGAACGTGAGCTTTGATAGATTTTTATCCATTTTGGGGGGGTATTTTTTTTTTAAGTACTACATCTGGAGTGATAGTTTCTCAGGAAGAATTTTAAGATTTCAATTTTGTACAGAGTTTTGTTTTCAAATTTTGACTGAGAGGGGTCAAGGAGGTGTTGCATCAGGAGTTCACCTGGGAAACCTTAATAGCATTAATGTTGCAGAGAGAAGGAACAATGAACAGCTGCTCAAAGGTAATCTCCTACCCTGCTGCAGCAGACAGTTGATTGAAGCTTTGTTTACCTGAAGAGATGTAAATGCTAAAAGGTTCTTGTAGGAGCAGTATAGAGACTAGTTTAGGTTTTTAATTGCTTTGGCAATTGCATAAATGCATAATTAGAGTTGGGAGGTTTGTGTTTTGTTGTTTTTTATAGATGCCTCCTAGCACATCAAGACCGGGTTCTCGTGGTGGTTCCTCAACTACTGCAGGAGTCCTGTCATCTCAGATCAAAGTTGCAGATCGTCCAGTGACTCAACAGGGATTAAGTGGAATGAAAACTGCAATGAAAGGTATTTTTGACTGAAAATGGCTATCAAGGTGTCTGCAAACATTTTTAAAGAATATTTAGGGTTTTAAAGGAAAACTTTGCATTGCTGTAAAAATTGCAGGGTGAATAGCTATGATTAACAGGAATAGGAGAAAGGAAGGAAGATGAAAGCATGGCTCTTATTTTCTTTGCTCTTGACAGAGAAGACTGAGAGCTCTAAGACAAAGGCTTTTCTGTGCCTCAGCTGTATTTAAAAGTCATTCAAAAGAATAGAATAGCATAAATTGTGTCTTTTTCCAGCACTGCGGAATAATTAAAATACTGTGCTGTATAGTAACTGTTCATGTAGCTGAACAAGTAATTTTTATCTTCACAAGGGTCTAAAATGAGTTTCTGCCTTTGTTTGTTTCAGTGATGTAAAATCTATTTAGAAACACTGAGAAGGCAGTTCTTTGCCTGCAAATTCTGCAGATTGTTTTAATAATTTACAATTCATCAAACTAGTTGTTTTCTGACAAAACATCATCTTATTCTCCCTTGTCAGGTCCTCAGAGACAGATAATGGATAAAACATATTACCTGGGACTGCTGAGGTATGTCTTAACAACACATTCAAATGGCAGAAGTTTCAATGTTCCCTTCCCTTTCTGACATGAAGCTTGTTGTGCTTAACAATAAAGTGGGATAAGCAATGTTCACTTAACATGAAATCTGTCCTGTTATAAGAGTTAAGGTCATTTTGCATGTAGTTTGTAGGAGGAAGGGAATTTTATGCTTCTGTCAAAGTACAAGTAGATTCCTTTGACATTTTGATATTAGGCTTGCTAAGTTAAATGCAGTCCCACTGCGCTAGTAAAAGGAAAGTCACTGATTTTGAGCTTCTACCTGTAACTCTTGATAGGTCTGGTAGCTTCATTTGTAAGAAGTAGCATCACAAACTAAGCACTTTTTCGTGTACATTTCAGGTGGCTTACCTGAATTGACCTTTCTATTTGACAATAATTGACATCTGTTTCACCAGTGGGGACAAAAAGCTAACTAAAGCATTTTATTTTGTATACGGGTTTTCTAACAACTACTTCTGACTTTATCTAATAGAACCACACTTTTTTTTTTCCTCTTTTACTGAACTCTTCTTTGAAATACCGATTTGGAACACTGTGCAGTGTGAGAAAGAGATAATGCCTGCACATCTCTTGTAGTAAAATACAATTTCGATCTATGTTTTAGTTGTGCATTCAAATGTTAATGATTCTTTTTGTTTATTTTTCTGCAGAAGCAAAACAAATGAACTCACAACAGAAATTAACAAGTTACAGGAAGATGTAGAAATGTACAAGCAAGAGAAATCTGTCTACTTGTCATATGAAAAAAGGTGACGTATTGCAGTTAAGGTAGTGCTAACTTTCTCAGTCACAAGTCTAGTCTTGGGTATTTTGTATGCTTCAAGGAACTGTTAAATAATTCTTTTTTCATTATTTTGTTTTTACATATACAAACTTTCCCATATTAAGTTTGGCTCTTTGTTTTGTATTTAGGGCAGAGGCTTTGGCTGGTGAAATCAAAGAATTTCAAGGTCAGCTAGCAGACTACAACATGGTATGCTGCTGTCAGCTTTTGATACCGAACACTCTCTTTAGTCTCATTTACTTTGTACTGCCATCTCTTTTTTTATTGACATTTCTCTATAAAAATGTACTGGTTAATACTGCCTTTTATTAAGTTTTTGGAAAGGAAAAAGGTGGAAACTAAGGAAAACAGGAAAAAAAAAGAAAACGTATTACACGTTAGGAGAAGCAGTTGCATATGGGTTTAAGAAATTACTGCTGCATAATATTTGTGGCTTTTGTACAGCCACATATAATGATGATTACTTCTGAAAACTGCCTATAATCTATGAAGATACCAAAATCATGTTTTTTCCATTTGCAATACCAGAAAATTGCTGTGTTTTCTTGAGCGCTTTGTGAGTTGCAAACTATTTGCCTGATTTTCTTGTTTGTAACTAAAAAAAGAGAGCAATAAGAGGTTGGAATTCTGTGTTTTTTCAGGTTGTGGATATACTTAACACCAATACGGATATAGCAGAAGTGATTCGAGATTACAATATGGTAAGACTTAGGATATTTGCTATGTTTGAACAGTGAAATAGTGTGTGTTATGTTCTTAGTGCTTTGAACATATGACATATATAAAAAACATAGCAGTAATTTAAAAATTATCCATTTTTCCAGTTAAATTAACCATAATATTGGTAATATGCTTGTAGTGAAACAATTGCCTGAAGTGTTGCATTAACAGGCCTGTGATAGTTTTCTGTGTTTTAGACTTGAGAAAGCTGTTATCCCAACCCAAATTATGAGTCTTAAAATACATTCTTTATTTGTCTTGGAAGCATAGAACACTAATCTTACGAAAGTCAAATTCATTAGACTGCACTGCCTTGTAAAGCTGCCTGGTTTTCTGGAAATTTGATTCTTTTTTGTCTTCTGCCTTTAAAATTACTCCAGTATAATAAATACTAGATATGTCTCTGATATTGCCAACCACAAAATCAATTAATTTTGTTCTTCTTTAACTCCCCTTCTTCATTTTCTAACACGGGGGTGCCTCTAAGTATTAAGGTGTGAGTGGCATTAAGCATGTTCTATTTCCTGTGATCACTTTGTCCATAAGAAAAAGAAACTAGTTTTAGAAAAGGTTATTTTGGTAGCTTGAAAAACCACCTGGGTATTTCTTGGTCAAAACAACTCTTTTTTTCCCCCCTGTATTTGATTGAAAACAAAGTCACAATGACTATGCCATAAAGAAAAGAATAGTTTGCAAGTGTTACCTTTTCATTTTGTTTGTAGGCTTAAATGGAATTTTACTAAGTGTTCTGGGAATAGAGCCCACAGTAAGTGAAGTGATTTGTTACAAACATGATGGTATTTCTTTTTTAAACATAGAGATATCATCTTACTTCCTTTGGTTTCTAGTGGAAGACTGCAGTTTCAGAAGGTCTTTCTTCAGCTTCAGTTGTGAAAAACCTGTGGAGCTGGTGGTCTCTGCTGCTCCTTTCTCTACTGCTTTTTGAGCAGTTTCTTGCTCATTTAAAGAAAACTTGGAATTTGTGTATAAAATTTGTATCTTTATTATTATATATTATATTAAAATAAATCTTTTTGTTTTTAAGTTAAAGGTTCAGAATGACAGAGATGCTCAAAGCGTGGATAAAATTTTCACAGAAAGACAAGCGTGAGT